ACTGCCACGGTGCTTATTGCTCTGGTAAATATTTGAAAATTTTTGATTATTCCTATAGGTATCTATCTCTCTTGCGTCCTAGTCCTTTAGTTTAACACCATCAAATGCTTTCGTAAGGTCCACAAACATAAATATGCCGGTTTTTGTATTTTATTGATTGATCTTGCAGTTGCCTCATTATAAATGTAGTGTCGGTATATGATTTTATCATTTTAAAACTTTGTTGTTAGTTTAATAGTGCTATAATTTCATTCAGTTTTTTTGTTATCACTTTGGCTGTTAGTTTTATTGTTGTCTTTAATACATTATTTCCTCTGTAGTTTTTTGGATAATATTTATCTTCCTTTTTGAAGAGATATATAAGGATGCTGGATATCCATTCTTGTGGTATTCCTCTTGTGTTCTATTATTTGTATTATTGTTTAGAAGTGCGTTCAGTAAGATGTCCTCTTCTAGTGATATCTAATTTTTAATTATCTTAATGTTTAGGTTTCCTTACCCTCCTTAGTGTATATTTCTTCGTTTGTCATCATTTCTGATATTGGTGGTTAACTTCACCTTTAGCAAATAGAGATTTATCTTGTTTTAAGTGAAAAGACAGCAAATATTTGATTTCACGCAAAAAGCGCCTTTGTATCTGTTGATACGTATTTCGACCTAATAGGTCTCATCAGAGCAGTTATTCAAAGCAGAAATCTGAATTGTATTTCGAAACTATTTTACTGTTATCTTGTTTTCTTTGTTTTACATATGATCATTCTTCATATTTCTATTTGTGTTCCGTAGAAGGCGTGTTCCATATATTTTGAGAAGCTCTTCCAGTGTGCCTTTTTTGTCTAACTAAAGCATTTATTTTATTTCGGATTTTATATAGTGGTTGTATGCCTGTTCTGTTTGTCGTTTTCTTTATTGTAAAATTATTTTCTTCATATTTTGTTTTCGCTTCCTTACTTAACCATTTTGTTTTCTTTCTTGATACGTCAGTGTTCGTTACTTTCCTCTCTCTAAGTGCTATTGTTAGTGCGTTATTATGTTATCTTTAAGATTATTCCAGCTTTTCTCGATCTTAACATTTTCTAATATTTTATTCTTAGCAATCAGCTCTAATTAACACTGCAATTTACTGGCCAACCAATCAAATAGACTGCCCGATTTACTTGACCCTTTTATCTATAAAGGAATACCAAAAGAATACCTTCACATACAATCTAATGAAGACCTATCGTCAGATCATTCATCATCCATCAGAAAAATGCCCACCTAAATCCAATCCAATCCAATAGATCCGTCCAGTAGAGCTCAAAATCCTACTAAAACAATCACAAGAAATAGAAATAGCAATAGAAACATCAACAAAACAAATACACGAAGCTGCATGGAAATCTACAAAACATTACTTTAAACGAAAATGGTTCCATAAGAATTGTCCAACAATAACAAAAATAGAAATATAAAAAAAATTAAAACTTCATCATAAAAAATGGCATCAAACTCGTTCACCTCAAGACAAAACCAAATTGAACAGAGTGTGCAGAGAAATAAAAGAACTACTAAAACAACATAGCAACGACAATCTCCAACATTACCTACAAAATCTGACACCTAACTCAGATAGTGATTAGTCATTATGGAAGGTCACAAATAAGCGGCCACAAAAACCAGATTCCACCTATCAGAACAGAAGATTTAAAATTATAAAAGACAGATCAGGAAAAAGCAGACGTTTTCGCAAAACACTTCAGGTCTCTCAGCCGCTGACAAACAGGGCAAATAAAGATGACAACATCTATAAATATTTAGATAGTTCTAATCAAATAAACTAGTCAACAAATAGGCAACTCCTAATAAAATAAAAACTCTAATAAAAAACCTGAATAAAAATAATTCCCTGGATATGATCTGAGAACGGCTAACACAATAAAGGATCTATCCAGAAGAGGAATAGTAAGTCTAACACAAATCATAAACTCGATACTAAGGCTAGACTACTTTTCTGCACAATGAAAGCAGAAATCATTATGATTCCAAACTCAAGAAAACCGCATCTGAGATTATATAGTACCGACTCATCAGCTGATCCCAGTTATGCCCAAAGTCGCAGAAAAAGTCATTGTAAGTAGACTGATTATTGAAATATACAACAACAATAATATATATAAGTTTATTTTCGCCTAAAACATGGCACAACTGAACAAGTGCATAGGGTGGTAGAAAAGATACAATCAGCCTACCAGGGAAAAAGCTTTCGCAATGCCATTTTTTTGGATGTTGATTAAGCATTTGATAAGGTCTGGCAGGATGACTATTCTTAAAAAAAGTAATATCTCAGCCGCGATACACGATACTAAAATCATACATTAAAGAAGTACTATTTTATGCAAGATACGAAGAAAGTGTATCTAAAATCCGAAACACAAATGTATGGGTTCTGCAAGGCCGCATCTTGCAAGACAATCTACACAATTCTCTACACAGTCTTTACAGCTAATTTCCCAACTGGAGAAGAATCCGAATCGCAACATTCGCAAAAGCTGAAATATTTTAACAAATCTTTCATTTAATTAGAAGGACTAAGAATTGGAAGGAAAAGATCAACGAAGCAAAATTAGTTAACATGGTATTTACTAAATATCACAAAGAAACACCAAATATCCTAATATATACAAACAACATTCCCAAGAAAGATACTGTAAAATATATTGACAAGGGCTAACATGCAGGACACACATGTAAATAAAAAGAAGTAATTAGGAAAAACATTCAAAAATCACTACAGGTTACTCGGTCGTAAGTCCACCCTATCATTATCTAAGGAAATATTGGTGTATAAAGAAATGATACGGCCTATCTGGACATATGGGATTGAACTGCAGCAGATAGAAACATAGCAATACTAGAGCGATCTAAATCTAAGATTCTTTGTGCTATCACTGATGCGCCGTGGTTCATTCCAAATACAGACATTTACTAGGACTTGAAGATCGAAATAGTGAAGCAAATGATTGTTAAAAGCAATTATAAATATTTTAAACGACCGAAAAAACACCCCAACTAGTTCGCAATAAATTTATTGGACAACTCCACACAACTAAATAGGTTAACCATTATAACTCTTCTTAAGTTACCATTTTGAAAATAGGTGTCTAAACTTAGTTTCAGTTATTAATAAACTTACTAGAAGTTAATGTTAGTTGGACTAAAACTCTTGCTTACATATTGTGTCAGTTCCAAAATATGTAACTGATTGTGATTTAAAACAAATATAAAAAGCCTATTGTTGCTACCTAGATCTGCTGAGTTGTTTATTTTAAGTTTATCATGAGGTAAAATCCCCTAGTATAATCATATTTCCTATAATTTGGTAGCCTTACTTATTGTAATTTTTCATTCAACGTTTCCCTTGTTGTTAGAAGCTTGTTATTTTTTGGGCTGTATATTCCAATAATGCTTAGGTCATTTTTCTCCTTTCTTATCTCTGTTGTTACAATATGTTCTGATACAAAGAGCTGCAAAGTGTTATTTTACAATATAATGTATCCAGACTTTCCCAATAAAAAATCATTTTTACTTCGAGGTTTTGTAACAAGTGATATCTTTGGAATGTTAGGCTCCTATTGTAGCATGTATATACCTGTTAGGTGTGAATATGTGATAAGACTCTCTCTCTCTAGTTCCATTCTTCTTTGTGGAGTATTGACTATAAGTCCAAATACCGTTGCTATGAAGCTCAATCGAAAAGTCAAATAAGAATAATTTACGACAAAAAAAGCACAACAAATAAAATGTAAAAAATCAATTATAAAAATATAACTATTAGGAAGTGGCTGGCTATTCCATATCCAAATTCACTACCTAGGCTGAAATTAAGATAGGTTATACCTAAGTCGAATGGTTTAGTGGATGTGGGATCGAGCCCAAGCTCGGTGTACAGAAAACAAAAAAGTCTAACGCAGCAGTTTAAAATTCTAGATGAATCTGCGGCTTAGACTAGGATATGCTGGGATCTGATCGGCCTATGGTGGAGCAGTACGGCAAGAGATAAGGGCTTGCGGCTCGGTGATACTCCTCCATAGATCCCTACCGGACAGGCGTAACGCCTAAAAAACCGGATATATATATATATATATATAATATATATATATATATATATATATATATATATATATATATATATACCTAAGTGCAGTACAAAACCTAAAAATTTAAACATATTAAACTTTATTTGAACAAAACTGGACAACTTTAACGTTATTTTCCTTCACTAACAGGAGATCGTCCAATGTACAGGTCACCAGGCATTGTGGTCAGCTGTATAAATATTGGACAGTTTCTGGTTGTCCGCATCCACATAATGTAAATAGGTAGTTCCATCTATCCAGATTGTTTTTGGTATTACTTATTCAGCCTATATACGAGTATATTTAAGCTCTTCCATACTTTCCAGTTCATGTCTCCACCAGGTGGAAAGGCGTCTGTCGTATGACTCCATTGTGGTAGGTGACGAAGATTATCCCTTTACATATGTATCCTTGGTGTGCTGGATGTAGACTGTAGTAATAAATTTAATGTTCGGATGGGCTATACCGGTCAAATATTGAAGCTTATCTATTGGGAAGGGTCTTAAGCATCCCGTAATTATTCTACTGGTCTTGTTTAATACTATATGTACTTGTTTAGCTTATACAGATTTTTGTCAGATAGGACAAGCATATTGTGCCAATAATGATATATTTCTGCTAGCATTCGATCATATATTCTTCTTATTCTTGTAGTGCGTAACCGTTTCGGATGTTGGCGACCATCTTTGGCAATCTGTATTTTGCAAACTGCTACTCTGAAAAGATTTGTGGTTGTTGTGTTGAACCACGTACATAAATTTTTCAGCCAGGAAATCCTTCGCCTTCCTGGCCTGCCTTTTTCTTCTCAGGACCATTTTAATTTTTGGTGATTTGGAGGCTTCTATGGATCGCTAAAGTAATTTAATTTATTTTATATTTCAGCCAAAATCATACGAATACGGATACCAAGTCAAAGACGAATACACCGGAACCAACTACAATAAACAAGAAACTAGCGATGGAAACCAAGTTAGAGGAGAATACAGAGTAGCCCTTCCTGATGGCCGTACCCAAATCGTAACATACTGGGCAGATTGGCAAAGCGGATTCCACGCTGACGTTAAATACGAAGGAGAAGCTCAGTACCCAGAACAGTACAACAAAGGAGGATACAACGGCGGATCTGGACAATACGGTGCTCCTTCTGGACAATACGGCGCTCCTTCTTTTAATGGTAAGTAATCAAATATTATTTTTTGTATTAAAAATTTTAAAATCTTCAAATATTTTATAAAATATTAACACTTATATAAAATTTTTGCATTAATAGCGTATTTTATAAATATATGTTCAATGTTTTTTTAATAAATTAAAAAGCACGCTAACGAAAGTTTTAATATTAACTCTAATATTAAAATTCATTATGCGCGTGTTGAAACAGTTAGCTATTATTTTGATTTGGATTTTAAATTATTATTTAGACTATTTACACACAACAAAATTTCTGATTATACATTAGGAAAATTATTGTAATTGGCTACTTTCTAGTTATAAACGAGGTAAATCTAATAATAGAACCATCATATAATTTTAATGTAAGATATATATTTATGTTTCTTCGGTAAGTAATAGATTATTGGGAAAATTGATTTTTAATACATTTATCATAAACAATTTTAACATTGTTAATTATTTGTTTAACGTTTTTAGTTTGTAGTGTTTGTATGCTTAAAACACTCTATAAAACGACAAAGGTGACAGAACAGTGAAAACCAACTATAACTATCCCAGTTTTACAAAAAGGGTAAACACAGACCCACAAAATTCCTAATAGTCATAATAATTTTCTTGCTAATTATCATAAGCTTTGTCTTCTTAACGTTTATATGAGTCCATATTGCTGACTGGAATACGTGATTTTGTTTATTAGAACATGTAGGTTGGTCCATCATTTACCTCTTCTTCTAGCTCAAAGTTGTTATCTCTTTGGTCTTCAAATAGTTTCTCAAGATATTTTTTTCACTCTCTTTTTTTACTCTGTTTTTTTTTTCAACCTTCGTCTTAGTCTCCCTGTGAGTTCTTTAACTTTCCTATGTACATTGTGACTATCGTACTTTGATTGCAGAGTCTCAATTTTTTCGCATCTTTCCCTTGCTTCTTTTTCTTTCGCTTTTCTGATTTTAATTCTTATTAATATATTTATGGTTTTATATTGGTCTGGGTCATTTTTAGCTTTTCTTCTCTCGTCTATTAGTTTCATGATCTCATCAATGTCATCCATGATTTTTTCTTCATTAATCTATCTGTCTTGAAGTGTTTATCCTTTACATTTTGCACTATTTCTTCCTATGTCACCTGCTCAATTTTATTTTACCATAGCAACCTTTAGGATTAAATATGTTACTTTTGATCTTTTTCTTATTCCTTCATTGTATATGCGATCGCAGAGTTTATTGTTAAGCGTTCTGCGGTCCATTGCTTTCTGAGTCACTTGCACAACTTTCATCATCATCATCACTGGCTCGACAACCCTTTTTGGGTCTTGGCCTGTTTAAGGATTCTTCTCCATTCTGACCTCTTTCGTGCTTTTTTTTCCAGTTTTTAATTTTTAATGTTGTTATATCATTTTCTATTTGTTCTACGTATCTCAGCTTCGGTCTTCCTCTTGTTCTTTTTCCTACTGGCACTTGTTTGAATATTTTGTTTGGTATTTCGCCTTCTTCCATTCTTTCCACATGTCCAATCCAACGTAGCCTTCCTATTTTAATGAATGTTATGATATCCGGATCCTGGTATATGTTGTATAGTTCAAAGTTATACTTCTCCGCCAAATTCCGTTTTCTTTTGTGCCCTTATATATGTGTCGCAAGATGTTTCTTTCAAAGGTGGCTAACAACGTTTCCTCCCTTTTAGAGAGTGTCCAGGTTTCTGAACCGTATGTGAGTACCGGTCTTATTAAGGTTTTGTATATTTGGCATTTTGTTTTTCTGGAGACGTTATCTGATCTTAGTTGCCTAATTAAGCCATGGTAACATTTATTGGCAATAAATATTCTCCTCTTCACTTCCTCTGCAACGTTGTTATCAGACGTAACTAGGGATCCTAAGTATGTGAAGTTTTTTTACCGCCTCAATGTTGTATTCTCCTATTGTTAAATTTGGCAGCTGCCTTATTTGTGCGTTTTTATTTGCAGGCATATATTTTGTTTTTGTCTGATTGATTTTAAGACCACTATTTTTTGCAGCTCGTTCTATTTGAGTGAATGCCTCTGTCATTTCTCTTCTTGATCTTGCGATTATGTCAACATCATCTGCAAATGCTAGTACTTGCACGCTTTTATTAATTATTGTTCCTGGGTATTAACTGTTGTGTCTCTTATTATTTTTTCAAGTATGATGTTGAATAATATGCATGATAGAGCGTCTCCCTGGCGTAGTCCCTTCTTCACATCTATTGTTTCCGTTAATTCGTTTTGTATCCGGATTTTACTTTCTACTTTTAGTGTTTCTTTTATCAATTCTATTAGCTGTGTTGGTATATTAAATTCTTTCATTGCTTTTGTTAGGAATTCTCGGTTTATATTGTCATATGCGCTTTCGAAGTCTATGAAGAGATGATGTGTGTCGATGTTATATTCACTTGTTTTTTCAAGGATCTGTCGCAGAACAAATATCTGGTCTATTGTTGACTTCTGTCTACAGAAGCCACATTGGTATTTGCCAACTATTTTTTCAGCGTATGGTCTAAGTCTTTCATACATTACGTTGGACATTATTTTGTATGCCGCATTCAACATCGTGATTCCACGGTAGTTTTCACATTCTAACTGGTTTCCTTTTTTATGTAGTGGTACAATAATGCCGCTATTCCACTCCTTTGGTAGCTGTTTATTCAACCATATCTTTCTTATCAGCTCATGTATGGCTTTAAGTAATGCGTCTCCTCCTTCTTTCAGTAGCTCCGATGATATTTGATCCGATCCCGGTGATTTATTGTTCTTTAATTTGTCCACTGCTGTTCTAATCTCTGCTATTGTTAGTGGACTCTTTTCTCTGTTGTCTGCTTGTTCTAATGGTATATCAGGGTTTATCTCCGTCCTATTCACCCCAAGCTTTTCCTTAAAATGTGCTGTCCATCTTCTAAGTATCTCTTGCTGTTCTGTCAATATATTACCCTCCTTGCACAACTTTGTTGTTGTTAAAAGTCCTTATGTAAGTTGTATATGTGAAGACCGGTAATATATCGTCACCGTCCGATACAGAATGGAAATAAGCGAGGCCGTTGAAAAATTCTACACTAAATTATACTCGGTAAATACAAAACAACAACAACGACGTACTGAATGCACAATAATTAACACTGGCTCAGAAGAAATACCGGACAAAACCGATTATGAAATAAGAATGGCTCTAAATCAACTAAAAACGGATGAATGCCTAAGAGAGGATAAAATTACAGTTAAAATGTTTGTTGAAAGTTAAAATTGGTGGTAGAAAAATGAAACAGGTATTAAATATTTTATTTAATAAAGTAATTGATGAAAGAAAGATTCCTCAAGAATGGTACAACTCCGAAGTTATTTTACTATTCAAGAAAGGAGACAAAGCAAACATCGAGAATTACCGACCAATTTCCTTGTTATCACATTTATATAAATTACTAACCAAAATCATAATCAACCGCCTAACACATAAGCTCGATTTCTATCAACCTATCGAGCAGGCTGGATTCAGAAAACATTTTAGTACCATAGACCACTTGCACACCGTAAGAATACTGATAGAAAAATGCACCGATTATAATGTTCCAATTCATATGGCGTTCGTCGATTTCCATAAAGCATTCGATTCCATCAAATTATGGGCAGTGCTTGAATATCTAGAAAATGAACGTATAGATTCAAAATACACTTACATAATTAAAAACATATATAAAAATGCCACCATGCAGATAAAGGTGGACGAAAGCACAAAAACTAATCCCATAAGACTACAACGGGGAGTAAGACAAGGAGACATCATCTCTCCCAAACTATTCACCCTTACTCTAAAAGATATTTTTAAGAAACTAGAATGGAACAATAAGGGTATCAACGTCGACAGATCATACTTAAACCACTTGAGATTCTCAGATGACATAGTTTTAATAGCCGATAATATCCAAGAACTAAATGATATGTTACAACAATTAAATGCAGATTTCAGGAGCGGTAGGCTTAAAAATAAACTACAGCAAAACAAAAATACTGAGCCGAGACCAGACAAATATAACAATACAAAATCATACCATAGAAAAGGTTGAACTTTATGTATATCTAGGTCATGTTATCAAACTAGGAAAACCAAATCAAGATGCTGAAATTAAAAGAAGAACACAACTGAAGAATTCTAGAATTGAGACCAAGGACGACAATAAGAAGCATGGGAAGACCTTAAAAAGGATGGGTAGATAACATAAAAGCAGTGACAGGCAAACAGTGGATTAGATTGGCGCAAGATAGAGAAAGATGGAAGCAATTGGGAGAGACCTACATTCAGGAGTGGAAGGAAAATGGTTGACAAAGAGAGGCAATATATACTGGTCGAAAGTTTTTGCCTTAAAAAAATTCGGTAAATTTGATTAAAAGACTGTTTCCAATCTTTTAAATGCTGTAAATTCTAAGGTACATCTTCTATTTATTTCAGCCGTTAGGCTAAGCTTTGACAATTCTATTTTTTGTCCCAAGTATATATGACTTATACGACTGAACTCGACTAATATAAAAATGGCTAAGTTGTACTTTCCATTAAGTGTAATTCTCAACACATAATCTTTGATTACGTTTATTGTCTAAATTCACAATAATATTTAATACAACAATTTAATCATCTGGTAATGAGTTATTAATTAATTCTTAGGTTACAATGGAAATTCTGCCGCCCCCTCAGCCATCAACAGTCTAGCTTCAGGACACGAGGGCTACAATAATAATTACAACAACAACTACGACTCTTACAACAATGGATACCAGAATAAAGCACCAAGCAATACCTATGGAGCGCCATAATTAGGTTTGTAAGATGTTGATTGACCTTATGTGTCATATGTATAAAACATATTTCCCAGAAAATTTTAAATACTTTTCTCCAAATGACCAATATTTTCAATTACACTTGCTAAGCATTGTTCTTCTCTTTTCTGTTTATTCTTATGAAATATTTCTTCCTATTTTGTGGAAACCAGGTTGATTGTATAATTTGTAGGTTAAAATCTAAAAATGCTGCTAACATACATAAGTATTTAAATTGGATAATATAAACTATTGGAAAATTAGTTATTCAAGTAATTAATATATTAAGGAAAACAAAAAAATCAATAAGCAGGTAATAAATCCATATAATAGAAAAGAAACTAAAAATCTATGACATGATTAGAAGTTTAAAAACCAATTACAATTGGTCAAACTCATATCTGTACTTACAAGGATCATAGGAAATCAAAAAAATAGTATACCGTTTACAAAAGTACCATGGAATAAAAAATTATATCATTTAAAAGGCTATCATAAGGCTATAATGAAGGCTTAGATAGCAATTGGTATTGTATAGATAGTTTTCTTAAGTTAATAAAGAAAGGCTTTTTCAAAGCTTGAATAATATTAAAAGCGGTATGAAAAGAAGGGCATAAAACCTACGAAAATCTGGCCTATAATTTAATATTATGGTTTAGAGGTCACGAAGGCTTCACCACGAAGCCATGTGCTCCAAAACTTTCTTGTGGACAGTTTGAGGATTCCTTATGACACAGTACTGGTTTTGTCAGTGTATAATTGCCTCATGTCATTAAGCATTTCGCATTTCTACACCATGGTACATTTACTTCACCTATGTTATAGAGGTGTTTCTTCAGTTTACGGTGTCCAGCAATGATCTCTGTTACAGTCTTCAACTCATTTGCCAAGTTCGATTAAAGCAGCTCAAGGCTCACGTCAATATTGTTTTTAATGTTGTTCAAATGGATCTACTGCTTATAGCTTTCCATTTCATTTCTAACTTCATTTTTGTAATGCCACAGAATGATCTTGGACCTTATAAAATTCTTCTTCAGCCCTACTGTACCAAAATTCCTACTGATTCGTTTCTTAGACTTCTTAATGCCCCAGCTCTTATATGAGAAATGCTTTATTATCTTTAGTCAGTTAAGGAGATTCTTACAATTTTTTTATAGAACTGGAGATTAAAAAAGTTCATTTGTCTACTATATGACTTCTCCTACACTGTGATAACACTTGTTGACGCATGAGCCAATCAGATTTGATTCCTCAGTGATATTAAAAGAAACATAATAATTGCTTTACCTTCCTTTTAGTGTAGTGTTCTATATTTATTAAAAAAAAACATAAAAATTATCTAGATTTGGATAGCTTAAATTGTTCTGCCATTTGGATGTCAACACGTCATTTGCATTTGCCTTCATTTTCAAAGCAATGCACTAATATTTCCAGTTTTTACTTTCAACCACAGTCCCAATGGTCGTTTATATATTTTTATTTGTTGCGCAGTAAATATAATAAATAAATATAACTATAAAACGGATAACTTGTCTGTTATATTTTATAGCAACTACTAAAGTCTTTGCAAGTTATAAATATTTTAAAATCAATGAAATATGTATTTGGATAAGAAGTAAACTTTTCGGGGAAATACAACTGATATGATTATTGTTTGATAACGAAATGTACAAAGACATTTTTGTTTTGTATTATAAGGATATTTTTATATTTGTATACGACATTTTTTATTTTTATACTGAAATATATGTACATAAAATAAGTTTATTGTTTTCTTTAGTGGTGTCGGCAGTTGTATGCATTTAAAATCCGTTTTATTTGAATATATTGTTGAAAGTAAAGGACTACTGTTAAAAAAATATATTTTTAACCTTTTTGACTTTTAAATCGGAAGCTCTTCATAAAAAGGTAGAGAAACTACTTATGATGTGGATGAGGGAGAAGCAGCTCAAAACAAAAACGTTAAAAAAGCATGCTATGTCAGAAGGCACTAGCGATTTGCTGTAGCAAATTCCACACACTTTCAAAAACTAAGAATAGGAAGCAAGTTCGTTTAATGCCTGTCACGGCTGGTTTAACAACTGTAAGAGAAGGACCGACATTCACTTCTGTGTTAGGCATGGTGAGAAAGCAAGTTCGGATGTAAAGGCCTCTGAAGTTTTCCGAACAGATAGAAGCCAAAGGATACATCCCCCAGCAAGGGGAATGTGAAGAGGCGGGGCTTTTCTGGATACCAAATAGGACTTACATGACGGCAGAGAAGACGATGCAGGTCACAAACCCATAAAGGATATATTAGTTAATTGCTCCAATGCAAAGGCGACTGCATAATTAATTCTCTGCTAGTATTTAATTCGAAATATCCGAGAGAACTGCAAGGGCATATCTGAAGGCGTGGATCCGCAGGAAGTTCTTTATGGAATGGATAAACCTGGTGTATGGCTCTTCCTTTAAAAAATATCTACAGGAAAAAACAACCTACCCATGCAAGCCCTTATTGTCCTCGACAATGCTTCTGCTCACCCACCAAATCTTGAAGATAATTTACTCGAAGAGTGCAAGTTTGTAAAGGTTCTCTATCACTTAACACGACTTCTATCCTGCAGGAATTTGTACACCAAGCACATTTTTTGATGCTGCTTTAAGGTGACGGAGAACATAAAGCGTATCCTTTGAGAGTTCTGAAAGGACCACTTTAGTATCGTGATATGCCTCAGAAATATTGATCAAGCTTGACTGGGTGTTACAACGAATATCTAACAAGCTGACAACCAAGAAGCTACATGATTTACATTCACAGTAGCATGCGGTGGTTCAACGAAAAATTAGTTTCGAAGAGGAGTCAGAGATAAAAATGATTATCTCTACAAGAGATATAAAGAAGATTTTTGGAATGCGGGAGAAAGTTGTAAGAGTTTTTGGATAAAAATCACCATGAAAAAGTTGTTCAACGGAGCTGTTCAAATAAACTTGCCTAACTTATTTCTTGATATAATATAAATGTATTTGCTGAGTTAAGTGTCGAACACAGACCTTCTGCTTGATAGTTATACACTCTACGGTTGGAGCTATCCATGGTATATATATTTTTTAAATACTGGTAATAAAATTATTTAAGTAAATAACTTCATAAGTTATTATCGTTTAATCTTTTCTATTTTTGTTCATTTAGGATTTGCCAACAAGAAATTGTATTAACTTTATTTTCAATGAAGATATCTCGACGTGGTCTGATCGAAGCCAAACTTTTTTAAGAAATAGGAAAAATGATGCTGGTGGTAGTGGCTTACTTATTTCCTCTGACTTTTGAGGGACATAGGGTCTACAGAAGATGCCGCCACCCATCCCAATTTCCAGATAAGTTTCTCAAATTGCTTTAAGTATTTCCTATGGTTTGTGCTTCCTAGTCAATGGTCCTCTTCTAGGTACTTCGCCTTTTCTCTCTTTAGGGATTAAAACTTAAATCCTTCTCTTAATATTTAGCATCTGATTCCATAAGAGTGAGGGGAAGCCAATTCCACTTTCGTTCTCTTAGTTGCGCTTTAACACTGATTTGTCCTATCTTCCTTCATTATTGTTTGTTTCAATCAATCTCAGGCCACCAAATATTCTCGCTTTTCCTGAGACTACGATCGACAAAACACCTGGAGCTGTGATGTTATTATTGTATACACGTTCTACACCTAACAATGGTACAACTAAACAGATAACGTTGGAGCAGAACAAATGAAGTGTTTACCTTTTTATTACGCCTTTTTTCAACATGTAATGCCTCTTAGTTTGTTTTAACAATGCTTTTTACTTTATTTTCAACATCCAAGGTCTCTATTTACTGAATTAACTTTTATCTTTTTGGTCTTAGGAGTGGTAATTCTAAGACTTACAAATATAAAAGTATCACTTAGGTTAATTTTATACTTAAAAACAAATATCATTTGCAAAATTAAGATCCTCCATATGACTAGGTTAATTTCACTGAATTACTCTCCTATCTATTTAATATCTTAGATATGATGATGTTAATTTGGTAACAGTTTCTTTTTTGTTCTAGTTTCAAATCAATTTCAACCTCTAAATAATGTTATCATCAATAACCATTTCCAAGTTTTATTTAAATATTTTGCTCAATTAAATTACATGCCTATAAACATATATTTTTGATATCCTTAAATAAATATTAGGCATTACTATTTTATAGTGATTATAAGAAATATACCTAACACTATTATACCAATGTTTTTTATGATTTATTTAATTGTGCAATTTAAACTACATCTTCTAATTACTAATTTAAACATCAACATCTAATTTTACAAATATCCATTTTCTCATAGTCCTACACAAGAGATAATCTTTTGCACAAACGCTATTTTCGCAATGAAACAATTGAATTTGCAGAAATAAATGTGGGAATTTGCCGTTTTGTATATTTATTACGACAAATGCTCTTAAGTGTGTGTTATTAATTTTTTAATTCCAAAAGTAAAATTGCGTCATCGAGTGTGGGTAAAGATATCTGGGTTAGTCGAGTAAAAGATTCTTCCATTGTCTTAATGAAATTTGATGTGATTGTATTTTAAATTGGTTATTGTGGTAACGAGGTGAGAAATGCGCCTGGTTAGAAAAGTTTTTGTGGAAATATTGTTACCAATAAAATTGCAAAATTTTAAATAATATATTTATTTCCAAACGATTGGTTTTTATACACAAGTTTTTGTCTCACTTGCGGTATACATTTACATTTTTCAGTATACGAAGTTTTGTTAGCAAAACCCGTTTCTTAGTCATATTCTTTTAAACTATAGCCAGACAGCTTGAAAGATTTCTTAATTCCCGATGAAAACAAACAACTCATTCGTTGCCAATTATTTTTAGTGAAGTTAAATTTATTTCAGGCTAAAGTCTAGTATCTGCCAATATCTATCAAGTCCAAATATTGGACTTAGTACTGCCGTCGTTGGTACAAATAACATATTAATCTTTTATGTGAAATGTTATTATATTGTAAGTACAATTTATGACTTGAACGTGATGTATAGTCCCACAAACTCCTTTTAAAAAAATAAAAAAAAAAATTTAGGTATTTGAAAAAATTTCACTGACATAAGTTACAACTAGATGAACTTTATTCGCTCATATGTATTTGTTAATAAGTGTTATTCATAATATAAAAAACGGTATTAAATAATATAATATTAGAAAGTGTATGTTGTCATGTAAGTTGACACCAATGACAGTTCTAGAGTTATAAACGTCAAAACAGTAAGATTATTATCATGTTATTATTGACAAAATATATTAGTATACTTTAATTGTATAGCAGCACATGATTTTATTATAAAATTTTTGAACAAATTTGAAAAACTTAAACTTTTGTGACTGATCTTAATAATTTGATTACCCACTGTAAGATAAAGCGTATTTTCATATTTGGGATCTGTCAAAATATCTATCTTTGATGTATAATTCATGCTAATTTATCTTACGTAATGATCTTTAGGTTTCTCCCACATAAAAATTTTAAAATTCACAAGATATATGATAAATGTTTTCAAAATTAAAATTTCTTGATCTCTTCCGTTTTTTGTTTGGTTTGGTTGTGGCTAGAATAAATCTCAGTGTGTTCTTCTATTCCTTTTAATGTTTCTAATAAGTTCTTTACATAATATGTTGTTGTTAACTTTAAATTCCTTCGCGTGAGCGTTTCAGGATTGTTTTTTGAGAGTTTTGTTGGTTCCTTTCTTCAATCTTGTGAAATTCTTTGTTTATAAAATAACTATAATTAATATTTTTTTTGTGTCATTGTCATTTAGGAACATTTGACAAAAATCAATAATTGACATACTGATAGTTTTTGTTACTGGTTTACTGTTTAGTAGCTGATTAGAAAGTATATAAAAAACTGACTAATACATTCTTTTTAAGTAACATACTGTGCTAATAAGAGCAATTTATAAATTTCAGTACAGATAACTAGCGCATCCGCCAGTATTTAATATGAAGAGCCAGCAAAGATATCGTAATTGAAATAGCCTATAGAATAAGCCATCCTTCCTTTGGATGGTTGACTATTCCTACAATACTATAATCCTATAATTCCAAATAAATAAAGATAAGTAACCTAACTTTTGTAGAATTTATTTATGTCTCTAAAATACAATTTTAAAGAAAATAAGATAGTCTAGAATACGTTTAAGTTGTTTGTGTTACTTTTGCTATTTTGCTATTTAGAGGATCTATTTGCACGAGTGTAAAAAAATCATCAAAAATTAAACCCTTGCCTAAAAGTTTGCCTATGCTTTGTCTCTTTTAAGAGGTTCAAAAGTTCTTATGCATAGGAAAATAGTTTTTGTGGTGAAGCAGTGAATTTCTAGTACAGCCTAAATTATATCTTAAATCCAAAAATGACATTAAATTCATGTATTAGCATATATATTATGAGAACACACAGAAAAAATTTACTACAAAATAAATAATTTAGATTTAACACAATGAAAAGCCGATGAAATTAATTTAGAAAGTGTATACAAATATTTCCATGTTGGTCTATCCAAAAGTATATTAATGACAGTAGTTAAAAAAAATTATAATCTATGTGCATATTAAACCATTTATATTTAATTTTAGTAACTGTTAAACACACGAACATGTATTTTTTCTACTTTTCATATTGGAATGTAAATAAAAAGTCTGAAGAAAAAACTGATTCTTTAATAAAGCTCATGTTGATGGGGACTGACTGAATGACAATTGTCCAAGTCAAGAGACAAAAAAGACCAAACTACATTGTTAGAGTGACATATGAGGCTAGAGAGTAAAACTGGGCTAACCAACATTTTGTTGATAATTGAGTTATAGATTGCAATTACTTCTAACGACCTAAAGTTTTAAAGCAAAACCGGTCTAACCAAAATTTACGTATATTATAACAAAAATCTATCCAGTAAGGTAATTTTGCATTAACCATACAAAATAACAAAAATTTGAAAACACGAATGGGCTAACCCACGAAGTTGTGGAATAGACCAAAATTGTTTAATACATAAATAGTTAAAGAATGCAAGAGTGGGCTAACCATCCTCTTTGTAGGATAGACCGGTTTTAACTGCTAATCAAGGGTACTTATCACACAATCTAACCTTCCAGCGAATAGATGTTTGCGTTAAGGTGGAAATTAGACTGTGTAGTGCAGTCTCTTTCTTTTATCCAGTACCAGTTATCAGCACTGGAATTTCATTTTATAAACGGCAGTTGTGGACTTACGTCTTACGAGTCCATAATTTGACTACGAATAATGCTCATATGTATGTTTGGAACGAGACACAAGCATCACGAGGATCTCAAGAAATAGGATCCTGTTTACTGCATTATTTTAAAAATGTTACAACAAAACATGTAATACTATATTCCGATCCATGCGGAGGGCAGAACCGCAACATAAAATGGCTGTCCTTTGCGATTTTATTGAGTCACATCCTGATATTGTGGTGGAAAATATTGATTATAAGTTTTAAGTCAGCTGACATTCTTATCTTGCCTGTGACCAAGATTTTTGAGTAATAAGTAAGCAAAAATTTTTTTTAAACATATCTACGTACCTGACGACTGGAGAAAGGTAATAGCGCATGCACGAAAGAAAGCACATTTTGCAGTCATAAAGATGAGAGAAAACGAATTTTATTTTACTAAGAAGTTAGAAAGGAATATAATAAATCGCAAACTTAAAGTCTAATGGTTACAGATTCAGTGGTTGCAATACAAGGAAACAGATCCATTTACAATTTACTACAAATACAGCAATAATGCAGATGTTCTCTTTTACTCACTAGATGTAAAAAAGAGGACATCCAGGAAAATACTTCAGTTAGATTATTTTTATCTCAATGGACGTCCAATAACCGAAGCAAAAAAAAAGATCTTTTGGAATTACTTTCATTTATACCTCCAATACATCATGGATATTACACAAGCATCAGAACAATAAGATGCACTATACAGCAAAAAGAAGATTCAGTAACGATGAAGATTGAGTATTTTTGTTACTTTGTTTTTTAATAAAGCATATTTTCGACATTTGTATTGTTTAATTGTATTGTACTCTAGGTCTAATCCACATTCCTATTAAAATTGTTAAGGGCATACTGATGCAAAAGCGGTCTCATCCACAAAAAAAGCTTAAATTTTTATATTTTTGTTAAATATACTGTAAGATCTTCGAGTTTTTTGTTATTAGTTGCTGTAATGTAAAGCAACTGTCTATTTAAATAAATATAGGCGATACCTTTCTAATAGTATTATGAAGCTCTTTCTGGCCCTTTAAAAGATTAGCCTATTCCCAACCTTCTGTTGCATTTCATCGTTCCACTTAATGCTTGCTGGAGAGAAAAAGGCTAAAAAGATAAGAGGTCTAAAAGATAGGTAAATAAGAATATACATAAGGTAACAAAAATGAAAGTAAATTGCGCCCTACTGCTAAGAAAAGATCAAATGTGTATAGAAATATGTATAGAAATGCCAAATATGACTATACAAAGCAGCTAAAAATAGCATAAAGTTGGGAGAAGTTACACCCTTATTGACATTGGAGGAGAGACTAAATACAGCCATGATTAATTTATATCAAAAATGGTCTAAACTAGTGGTGCTCAGATCTGCAACCATGGACTGCTATACCGTATTTTTAAACCAAGAGGATTTATTCAAATTTACCGCGTCGCAATTTTTGTAATTGGTCCAACCTCAGGCAAGTTTACTCCACTGTTATGAAATTTTAATACTAATGGCAAAAAAGAAAATGTATTTTGATAACCTCTAGTGACATTTTTGGTATGAATCTATCTCTTTAGTTTACTCCTCCTCTAAAACATAGTAAAAAAAAACAATTTTGAAAATAAAAAACTTTATTGCACGTTTCTAGTTGATAAAAAGTTGTAACTACAGAGAATTGTAATTAAAGTCATGTTTTTCACATTAATTTTACTTGGATGTTGATGCATGGAACTGCATATCATCCACAAGTATTTCATATAGTGGTACGTAATTACCGAGGGCTAAACAAAAGCATGAAGAGAAATGTTCGTCAGTTAGCCGATTATGATATTTTGACTTCACTATCTTTGTATGTTGATCCAAAGAATGCTGTAAGCTGCAGAGATACTCATCTTAAAGATAAATATAGGAGAAACACACAACAAGTGAAATCATAGGAGAAAATTATAAAATTGAACATTTGGTAGAATTTCTAACATAAATTGATATGTTTAACAAAATTAAACATTTATAAGTAAATTATAGGTCTTGGGTATGGGAGTATCACTCACTCTAGGTACAGGGTTAACCAAAATATATTTATAAAAGGGAGTCAAAAAGGCAAGTGTACAAAAATAATTTCTATATTTTATCTAAATATAATACAATTTAGTGCATATTATATAATAATAGAGAAAAGATAAAATACAAATGATACAGAATACTGAACTACATAATTTTAATTAAATTACTTATTAATAATTACTATTTTCCATTTGATGGTAAATTGTAACAGAACACTTTTTGGCAGTGTTTGTGTAAATATCATTAGGATAAACAAGCTTTTCGACAGCAACCAAAAATCTATTATATATACATATATATATATACATATATATATATATATATATATATATATATATATATATATATATATATATATAAAGGAAATTTCATAATTAAAATGGGAAGTTAATAGTTAAATTTAAGTTCAAAATTTTGGGTTCTGTAAAGTTAGCCTCAAGTAATAAATAAAATAGTATGGGAGGATCGACATCCTAGATTATTAATCAAAAGAATTTATAGCAAGAAATATAGAATGAAAAATTTTCAGTTGAAATAAATAAAATATTGTTTTTACAATATTTTTACCAAATTCGCTGTGTTTCTATTTTCTAAATACAATTATTTTATTTTAATTCTAATTCTATTTTAAGATAAATAAATATTATTTTAGTCTAATAAAACCATCAAAAATTATTCACAAATGCTAAGAAATACATATCCTTGTATATTTGCATTTAATATAGTAGATAATTGATCCGCATTATCGACATTGATAGCAAATAAAAGCATTAATACAAATATTTCTATATCATTTGACTTCTTACGTCGAATAGTAAAACCCAATTGTGGCTTAACTTGGTAATAGACTTTCTACCAAGAGAACATAAACACAAAAAAACATATTTTACTTAAACTTGCATGGCAGTTTCATGTCGAAAATAATTGTCACAAATGGTCTACTGAAGGTACCAGGCTGCGCGTCCATTTATCTTAGATTTATAGCTACATTAAGATACCTATGTGCAGTTTCTCATTCCTCTCATACTCATACGCAGAGGGACCAAATCAATAAAAATTAAATAACGGGTGACTCTAAGCAGAACCCAAAACATGTATCAAAGCTACTTCCAAAATAGATGCCTAGCAGTCTAAAACACATTTAGCAAGTTCCTACAACACTAAGAAAAAAACCAACATTAGAGAATGATTTCAGTACTTTTACAGGTACTTCGCTATAAAGCACCGAATCTTCAGGTATCTAGAAAACGTTTAAACAAAATTTAAAAACAGACACTCAGAAATATGTTCAATCAGAATTTTAAGGAACGGTCCTTATACCAACTTGCAACTATTTCTCAAGGATTGAGCTGTGACACAGGGTGTTCAGGGGATATGTGTATCAGAAGTATTTACAATAGGGACGTTAAAATCCACATTAAAATAAGTTTAATACACATTTCCTAATAGATCATATCGATGCAGCTCCATAAGTTCCTTAAAATAAACAAAGTATGGAGGGTACTTTGGGTCAATCAATGTGCTATTATCACTAAGAACTTTATTGAAAAAATAAGGAATATTTACTTTCCAGAGACCAGGGGATAAGACACCTGACAGAACGCTTAGTTAAAATATGACAGGTCAACCAGTGGAAAGACCAAGGAAAAGGTAGTTAAATAAAGTCAGCGCTGATGCTAGAAAGGTATTGAGGGTAAATAACTTAAGTTATGCTTAAAGGCAAATGCTGAAGGAAAACTCGCTCGATTTGCGTAGCGCCATTGCATTGAAAAGATAAAGGTCTTTCAAAGATTACAGGTCGGTGTCTAGATGTGACACTTGTCTATCTATGAAATACTTCCCACACAAGTTTGAATAGAAATCTGCACTGACGATACAAAGGTTACAGGGATAATAAGATAAATAAAAGTTTTATGCAGATCAGATATACAAATCGGAAGATTTATATTTTGTAGGTCTTGTCTATGTAGCCAGGAGGAATCTTTAAACTTTCCATAAAAAGTTTTATGGCTTTTATCTGAAGCATAAAGCAGCTTGGTAACATTTATTAAAAACCAGGGTTTTGTATACGACAAGTGCCAAGAACAAGTAGTGTTTTGCCAGAGGTTAGAAAAAGAAGAACAAGAAGAGTTATGTAATTAAAGTCCTTTTAAACTTAGCTTTTAAATAAGGTAGAACATAAAGAATTAAAATTAAGTAATAAAATTAAGAGACTAAGGCAGGACTAACGTGGATAGAAATATTTAAAAATAAGTACTGCAGCAGTAAACGAAAAAGAATATTGCTAGGGGAGCTTTAAAATAATATTGGCGATTGAAAAATAATAGTCTGGTGTTCTTTTACTCTGTTCATAGACATTATAATCTAATTTTGACGGTATTATTAAACTTTTATTAAAAAGTACAGTTTAAATATAAACACAAGCAAGGCAACCTAAAAAACAATTTTATTGGGTATAAAACGCTTATACCTGTCTATATACGCTTATCGTGGCAGTGCTCGCGCCCAACTTTTTAGTTCACATGCCGTCGAATAGCGCAGACTTGGTGATCTTCGGTCAATGCGGTGAAACCCATCATTTGTCGGTAAATTGACTCGGTTCAAAGGAGCTCGAAGGTTGGCGCGCAACTTGTATATACCCCTGCCCTGCAATGAAAGCTTTATCCTCCACGAGTCGGTACGGGAATGTACCGACCACATTTCGACGCATCAACCTTGATATTCAACCCTCAACTCAGGATTGCCATTCGCCAAGTCTGTTCAATTCTACGGAGTGTAAACTAGTTTGTCGTGAGGACTGTCACTCACCTTACCTTGTATATGCTTACACAAAAAACGTGACACATCTTTAAAGTATGGCTTAAGATTTCTTTTGCCTTAAAACTTCTATACTATTTATATACAAAAATCTAGTTTACCATACTATTTCTCGAAAGTTTATAAATAAACAAAAAGCCTTAATTCTAAATCTCAAATTAATTAAGGGTAACATTAGCGAAGTGTTCTAAATATAAGGGAAAGATATAGTAAAGTTTGGACCAAAACTTCGACTGAAAATATCGATCACAGCTGATATAGTGCAGGTGAGAATTTACTGATTTTATGACAACAATTATAAAAGTTTTTAAATCGAGGTCATTACTGTACATAAGTACACCAATAATTGTTCAAACCTCCTTTTCCCTCCAACCCAATTACATTTTTCTTTTAATTTTGACATTTTGATTTCCAATCTAGAATCTTAATGAAACATGAAATTTTAATTATAAAAAATTGTGTTTATAGTATTAATTGACCCTTGATAGCTAAAATAGAAGAGGATTTATAGTTTAGGGTTGTAAAAAAAATTAAGTCATAAAACATTCTCTTGATTAACACTATAAAAGCAGTCATACCGAAATGTAACAAATCTCGTATTTGATTCAAGATTTATGACCAGATTTTACTATGCCTTTACCCTTAAAAATATTGAACCATTGCTTATCATCGCACTCATCCATTGTATGTGCACTAATTAAATCAAAGTATTAAATTTTTTGTTACTTAAAATATGACAAGTTGTTGGTAACCATAATTTATTGTGAATATGTCAAAATTTAGGTGGTATATATATTTTCTTATTGTTTAAACACACTGATCGCCATAATAAATAATTTTAATAAAGCTTTTGTTGAGCCATTTACTTCCTCTATCTTATCAACTATTTAAATACCATTTTTAAACGCATACTACTAAAATACTGCACATTTTGTGTTACCTGAAATAATTTTGCAATGCACTGGCGTCCCATTTCCTAGATTTTATAGTAAAAGTCCTTTTAAAAGAGCACGATAGAGATTAATAACAAAGTATAGATACTTGGAACTGATGGCAATACAAGCCATAGCATTCACTGCGCTGAGAAGCATCACCGTCATAGTAGCATAGAGTAGCATAAAGGATCCTCGCGAAGACCAGAAAAGCAAAAAATTTAACAAAATAATGGAAAATTTAAATTGTACATCTATTGATGATAGTAGATGACAGTATAATAAAAGACGGGAACTTGCGCCTCGGTGTTACTTATTTTATTGTTCCCCTAGAGAATATTTAGTTACTTGGAGTTTTTACTGTTTTTGAAACACTATTTTGATAATAAATATCAATTTGGAAGCCAAGAAAGTGTTTTACAATTATAATATAATTCCAGTGAAATACTTGATATGCCAAACACGATTTAGCTAAAATACAATTATTAATAAACTCTTCTTTTCAAAAATAAAAACTAAAACCTAAAATCTAAATTGCAAACGCTTTCTTGATCCAATTTCTTGGAAGGATCAGGACTTTTTGATATTTTTTTTGGCGATCTCTCTCCATTTTTTCCTGTCTCTAGTTTTTCTTTATCATTCTCTTATTCCTGAGTTTTTCTCTAAGGCTTCTTAAACTTCTTGTAGCCAAGTTAATTTTCGTCTTACCCTTTCCTTTTTTCATCCTGAATTCCATTTTATTATCGCAAATGCTACTCACCAGATGTTATGTAGCCGTCTAGTTCTACATTTTTTTATTTTGGTCACAATGTCTTTTTCAGTACTTTTTTAATTTTTGCATTTATTCTTCCTCTATATTCATTTTGATCTGGTTTGATTTGTTCCAGTATGATTCTCATGATCTTCATTTCCACGTTTCTTCTTCCTACTCGTAAGACTTCTTCATCTATTTTAGTCATTGTCTCTGTTACCGTTGAGTATAATAATATTGTCACTCATGTGTATTTGGAGAGTTTACTTATTCGTTATATTCCGTTTAAGAATTCCTTATTTTTTTTTTTTTTCTCTTCCTTAATTGTACTATTGACACATTGACATACCAATAAAATTATTCAATAAAATATCCGACTGGAAAAGGCTTTGATACTAAAAAGGCATGATTTACCATACAAACAAACATAGAAAAATATGTAGATGTCAACAGTGACGTATTCATATGTCTAGTTGACTTTGAGAAAGTTTTTCACAAATACAATACAGAACGATTGCAAAGATATTACAGAAAACAGAACTAGATGATCAGAATATAAAAATCAATACCTACTGATAGAAGAAAGCTATATCACGACTAGGTTAACAAAAATTTAAAGAGATACTTATAAGGAGAGGTATACGACAAGGATGTGTACCATTCCCTCTACTTTTTAATATGTGCTTAGTAGAAATGTTTAAATAGGCACTAGAAGACATCAATGAAGGCATATCAATTAACGGAATACTAGCGAATAATCTCAGATATACAGAATGACACTACCTAGTACTATGATACTTATGTAATGTCTGAATACCTCAGATACAAGTTGGGTTGTGAGCTAAATGAACAATGTGATAGCAGCCTTGAATTGAAATGATGCATTGAGATGGCCAGTAGTGCTTTTATTAAGATGAAAGCAGTATTATGCAATCAAAAACTGACTCTCTACCTCTTTTAAATGTTGTTGAAGCCGGGACAATTACGTTTACACCTAAAAAAATACTTGCCATCTTTGATATGTGGTGTTATCGAAGAATGTGGAAAATATTATAGACACAGTAGGTAACAAACACGAAAAAATTAAGAAACATAAAAAAAGAAAAACTAAACACTTAACAAAGTTAATGCAATTAGTTATACTAGAGAAAGTGCAAAGAAAAAGTACTGGAAAGTAGTAGTAGTGGAAAAACAACAATAGAACACTTCAGAACTACTGCAGGCAGAATAAAATGTGCCGTGATGATCACCAATATCCTGAAAGGAGATTAGGCATATGAAGAAGAATTCTTTGTGCTGATTTTTTTGCGCTAGTGTCTCAGTTAGCCTGTCATAGCTATGGTAACTAAAGTTTCTAAAGTCTACAATTTGTGAGGGCATTATACTTGGGAACTACAGCAGTTTGTTAAACAACTAAAGAAGCACCAAAAAGTAATATTAATTACTGGTTACGAAATTGCTTATAGACTTGCTTAAGAATGATCTGGAACTTTTAATAAATCAGAACCATTCTAACGTATCACAAAAATAATAGTCCTTTAATAGATCAGAAAATATAAAAACGACACAGTCTAAATGGAAAATATTTCAGACCAAAGCAAAAACGATATTGCAATCTTCGATCTACGCAAAAATGCTATTAAAGCTTTAGAAAATTTAACTTAAGTGAAATTTTGTTAAAATGAAGAGAAAACGTCGATCATATTTTCCATAATTGCAAGGTAATTATTTGCCAAAAATATAAATATCTTGTAAAGATATCTGAACTATCTGATAATGAAAAATCTTATCAGTTCACAGACTTTGAGAGCTTTGAAATGCGTAATAAGGTTTCATAGAAATCTAAATCATTTGGACTCAAACATAAGATATTTCAGGTAACATTAAGGCAAGGTCTAAGAGACCCAATGGTTCCTACGAAATATGAATTAAAAATTGTTTTGAGACGTCTAAAATAAATACTTTGTAAACTTAAATTATAATCTATAAATAATGTAATAATAGAGTTGCAACGTCGTTTTAAGACCATTAATTTTTTTAAAAGAAGAAAAATGTCGAAATATTGCTCCAAATATACTATTTAGATGGAACTTTTACGAATTTATAAATCTTTATGTAACTTATTAATCTTTAAAATTTTAGCAAGAATTTTAGATCTGTTAGAATTATAGTTTGTTTTAGTCTCATTTATGTTTGATTCTAATATGGGTAGTACATAAGTTGTCAATATAGCAATCAATGTGTTAATATAATAATTATACATTCTTCAATACTTCAAACACTTTCGGTTGTTTACTCAATTTTAAAATTACAAAAACTCTATATTGTAAAAATACTACAATAAATTAAATGAATTCTTAAGTACTTTTTTCATGCCAGACACTACGTGATTAAGTACCAAAGGATATTTAAATAAAATCAAATTAATAACTAAGAGATACACAAATAAAAACCGTTGCATCAGCAAAAGCAGGAAAATTTTAGCTGGTGTCTGACGTTCAAAATGGCAACATAATAATAATAAACCAAAGACAGTTTTGATATAAACTATTGAACAGATATCTACATCCGAATTAAAGTTAAAAAAAATTAGTATATATTAATTAAATATATATTTAAAATTTATTAATAAATAAAGTTTTTGCAATTCTTAATAATTATCTAATTTAATAAAATTATTCTAGCCTCTATTTTCAATAAGCATATCCGCCTCCAGGACTATATTTCTGTCTATTATCTGGTGGTAGGTATCCAGGCCCGGGTCGACCGGGTGTAGGAAAAGGCGGTCCGGTTGGTCTGCCACTGGGATATCCTGGACCTGGAGAGGGACTTGGGTAGCTTGGAGACGGACTTGGGTAGCTTGGCGTGGGCCTTGGGTAGCTTGGAGACGGACTTGGGTAGCTTGGCGTGGGCCTTGGGTAGCTTGGGGACGGACTTGGGTAGCTTGGCGTGGGCCTTGGGTAGCTTGGGGACGGACTTGGATAGCTTGGTGTGGGCCTTGGGTAGCTTGGAGATGGACTGGGGTAGCTTGGAGAAGGCCTTGGGTAGCCTGGAGAGGGACTTGGGTAGGTAGGAATTCCTGGTCCTGGACCTGGCGCTGGTCTGGGGTATCCCGGAGTTGGACCTACAGGAACTGATGGTCTATTGTTAGGGAATGAGGGGTAGTTAGGCGTTCCTTCGTAGCTTATCTGAAAGTTTAAAATAAATAATTGTATGACATTTTAGATTTTTTTAGGTGTATATTAAACTTTTAATCAATTAATTGTTTTTCAATACTAAATTAGAAAGACCTAGTCAATCATTGCTTATAAGATCAATCATCCTAACACCTCTCTTCAAAAAGGAAGACAAATCGGACTCGGATAATTACAGAGGTATTAATGTAATAAACACACATACATAAAATAAACAAACAAAGTACCAACAAAAAATGAATGAAAATATAACAGACGAGCAACAAGGTATTAGGTCAGAAAGATCATGCACCGATGCCATATTTATAATAAGGCAAGTGTGTGAGTACGTAAAAAAAGGAGACACAATATCTCCAAAATTATTTACAGCTGCCTTAGAAGATATCTTTAAGTCAATAGACTGGGAAAATAAGGGAATCCCTATTAACGGAAGATACTAACGGAAGATATACGGAAGATAACGGAGATAATCCCTATTCCTCCTAAGTGCCTTCTCTATTGAGGATGGCGATCAATATGGCAAATTTCTCTCTGTTCTGAGCTTGATGGATTAAGTCATTTCCTGTTGTGTGAGTCCAATCTCTGATGTTTCGGAGCCAGGATTTCTTCTTTCTTCCTATACCTCTTTTACCCTCGATTTTGCCTTCTAATATTACCTGGAGCTGCTCAAATTCCTTATGGCGCATTATGTGTCCTAGATATGACGTCTTTCTAATTTTGATTGTATTAACCAGATGAGGTCGTGTGTTCATTATTTTCAGTACCTCTTCATTTGTAGTTTTGCTGGTCCAGCTTATTCTTAGCATTCGGCGGTACATCCACATTTCAAATGAATTCAGTTTGTTGACGTCATACTGTTTTAATATCCAGGTCTCATAGCCATATAGTAGTAGAGACCACACATAACACTTTAGTGTTCTTAACCTTATTGTGATTGATAGCTTGGGGTTACAGAGCATTTTACGCATGTTCATGAAGCCAGATCTTGCTATTTCAATACGTCTTCTAATTTCTTTTGAGTGGTCTAGCTGACTGTTTAGCTCTCTGCCCAGGTATATGAAGCTTTGGGAGCTCTGAAGGGTGATACCATTGATTTGTATGTTGGGTGTAATTTGTTCATGGGAGTTCTTGTGGAATACCATGATTTTGGTTTTGGAAAGATTAATATCCATACCTAGTCTGTGACTTTCTTCTGATAGTATGTTCATCAATATTTTTAGTTGGTCTTCTGTTTCTGCTAATACTACGGTGTCATCGGCATATCGTACATTGTTAATGATGATTCCATTGACTCTGGCACCTTCAGGGCGATCTTCAAGAGAAGCTCAGATGATATTTTCGGCATAGACATTCAATAGAAGAGGGGACAGAATGCACCCTTGACGCACTCCTCGTTCTATGTTTACATAATTGGTATTTCCGTTGTCTGTTCGAACACATCCTGTGTGGTTCCAATATGTATTGCTTATTATAGCTATGTTGTGTCCGTCCAGCCCTACTTCTTTTAGCACCTCGATCAATTTTTCGTGTCTAATGCGGTCGAAGGCCTTTCTATAATCGACAAAGCACACGTACAGCTGTTTTTGAACCTCGAGATACCTTTCTGCCATTAGTGTCAATCCCATTATTGCTTCTCTGGTGCCTGTACCTTTCCTAAAACCATATTGAGAACGACTCAGGTATTCTTCACACTTATTATGAATGCGGTTATAAATTACTCGCATAAAAATCTTAGCAGCATGACTCATTAGGGATACAGTTCGATGGTCTTCACATTTCCTTGCTTTTTGTTTTTTAGGAAGAGCTACATATGTGGATGTTAGCCAGTCATGCGGTAGAGTGCCATGTTCATATATAATGTTAAACATGTAGGTTAAATTCCCGACAGCATCATCACTCAGGTATTTAAAATGTTCGGCTGTTGTTAGATTTTCGCCGGGTGCCTTGTTGTTCTTTGCGTCTTTTATTGCCCGCATAACTTCTTCGGTTAGAATACTTAGTTTTCCATCGGTATCTATTTGTGGGGGCCCTTCTGCTCTCCGATCATCAAACAAATCTTGAAGATATTGTTCCCATATTTCCTTCTGTTTTTCAGGGTCTAATTCCATTTGGTTTTTCGTGTTTGTTACAATAGATAAATGTTTGGGTTTCCATATCCCAGCGACTTCTTTCACCTTTTTGTGTAATTCTCTATCTTTATGCTTCCTTTGCAGATCTTCTACCTCCTTACATTTTTCTTTCATCCACTCTTCCTTAGCTACATTTATCTTTCTTTTAATTTCCCTGTTAAGCTCTTTGTATCTTGTTAGGTTTTTGTTTTTTACCATCCGTCTCCTCTCCATAATTTGTAATATTTCGTTTGTCATCCATGGTTTTCTTTGTTTACGGTTTTCCTTCTGTATATTTTGGTTTGCTGCCTCCAGGACAGTCTTTTTAATTTTTCCCCACATTGTAACGATAATATTTTGCCTACCACAGGGGCCATTAATACAAGGGGATAGAAAATTGGCGGAAGAAACTAAAGGGGTTGAGATAAGGCAAGCAAAATAATCGCTACTGATGCGAACGGACACTCAGGGTTTCGTAGGAGAGCTGGGGTCGTGGATAAGTAAAAGATAAGGGCATTGGAATGGGGGAACTACAAAAAAATGAAATAAAGGGCTTTTGGGATAAACAAAATAAAAATAAACAAGAAACACCTCAAGGAATTTAATATAGGGCGCCACTTGAGGTGCCTAATTATGCCTATTACAACCACTAGTTGTAACTAGGGAAATAATTAGAAAATAAAATCAAAACATATCTTTTTCAAATAAACTCAAAAAGGGTTAGCTTAAAAAAAAATAAATAAAAAGTTAAGGAAATAAAATTTAACCTTTAATTATGTGTACCACAAACAGTTACAAATACAAATAATACTAACAAAATACAAAAAAAAACGACTTACAATGGCGCTTTCGGTTTACAACTCTGGGCGTTGGGGACCCTATTTGCGCGACATTTTGTAGCGGTAACTATTTAAATATTTACTTTAAGAAATGTTTACGAAAAAAAAAGAGTACCTGATATCACTGAATATTATATCTCCTTTAAAAGTTTTGGGGCTGGAACTTTACTCAAAAACACTGCAAAACAAACAAATGCTTCTCACAAGCTGCAAAATGGTCTGGAATGACCAGGGACAACAAATATACGATGAAAGCTGGGCACTGGACCATCGGACTTCGGGCTAATTAAACTGCAATCTTCAAAGCTTGGCTTTTCAAAACACAAAGCTCTTCAAAACACAGCACGACCCAAATCGGTGATTAACTCAGACAAAAACTGACACATTACATTTGAGTATAATATTCACTTCTCCACATATAAATTTGCCGGTTCCTTGAAGAATACCACCCAAGCACCTTTCCGTCAATATCATAAACCAACCTCAAATTGTAACTACACATGCTACCAAACTTCAATACTTCTGATAAAAAAAACTAATAACAAAAAAAAACATTACGAATTTGATGAAAATTCGGACTACACAAACGAAACCAACTGCCCTTGACAGCGGCTCCACCGATAGTGACGAAATTAAAAATTTGTTCGCTTAACTTGAAAATCAACGAACTGCTGAAATAGCAAAACTAACGAACGACGTAGATATCCTTTGAAACGCATTTACATGAAAAGAAATCGCCGCAGTAAAATAAACAACAATTAAATGGATTTATTACTCTACGACGTTAGAATGATTGAAAACACTTTTCGAAAGATACGAACTAAAAAACAGAAAACATTCTTCGTTTTATTAAGACGATTTCATATACGAGGTGACTTTAAATATACTTCAAAGAATCAATCAAATTTAAAATGCTACAATACCCCCACGTAAGAGCGAAAACTGGACTAACAGGAAAAGTTTTCGTTTAGGGCGAACAACAATCAGGTTGGAACAACAGTAGCATTTTTTAACTACTGCAACAACACATAATGACTTCAATAACTCAAACAGAACAAAAAACAACAAACAAAAATCATAACCAAAACTACACATCATAACTGTTTATGGTTCTAACATAATAACATACAAAATAAAACTGGATGCTCAATTTGACGAATCGGCACCAGGTACAGTTCGTTGGCTCTTAAGCACAACGACACAATGGCAGATTTCTACTAAAATGGCTCTAGCCTAACCAAAAACGTGGAACAGACCAGTGTTGAAGTTTCTGGGAGCGAAAAGAGGGGTGCTTCCAGCTCAACAAAGGCGGGTGGCCAACAACACAGCTTAGACAAGCTTCGCTATGGTTATCCACATAATAGATAACCAAAACAATATCAAAAAATAACAAACTTGACTATAACAGTCAAGCAATGAATTTTCAACCACCGGTTGAAAATTAAACTAACATAAACAGAAGAAAAACAGGATGGCCAATAGTTCCATAGAAATATCCTCTGGGATCGACACAGCGAAAAAAATTTCCAAGTCAGGAAACTCCCTAAAGGACAAAAGAAGAAAATAAATCCAAAACGTTAATACACAATCTTGGAAAAGAAGAAAGAACAGGGGCACATGGCATACAAGCCATAATCAATACACAATCAGTTCAGTCTCAAACTAAATACTTCCAAAAGAAACAAAAAAAAATCGTAACAGTCTTCCAAAGAAAACAAAAAAGTTACGACAACACTCCAAAAGAAACAAAAACGTCATTACAAATCTCCAAGGGGACAGAATAATCACTATAATCTTCCAAAGGAACAAAAAATCATTACAGTCCGTCATCAACAATAAAACTTCCAACTGGGTACACAAATTTCAAAAGCAGGGCAAGAAGGGTAAAGAAGAAGAAGAGTATATATATACACAATACGAAAACTAATGCTTATCTTCCTTAAAAGCTCAACAGGTCACCTGGCGGACGAATCCAAAACTCATCGCCCTAGCCGTTCCTCTTATGACAACTAATAAGGTCAAAGACACAGTTTGGGAAGGGAATGAA